TAGAACACACACACCACCTTGCCATGATTGGAGACTGCCTATGATTAGAGGTGTTGTATACTAGGCCCCAAGTGGGGAAATGTGCTGAGGGCCTGAGATGGCCTCAAAGCTTTGCAGGCATGTCAGAATTAGCTCTACCTGAGAGGTTCCTGCTAACAGGCTGGCCAAGAAAGCCCCAGGCAGGTAACTCCTTGGCAGAAACACCCCACATTCCAGCCTCATGAGGCTGTTTTCAGGATGAGTGTGGCAGCAAGCATGGAAATGAGATTCTTCAGAGAAGAGGCATTGCTTGAAATGTGAAATGTGAAATGTCCTGCCTGTGTGCCTTCTCAGCCCTCGGCTGGCCTGGCCCAAGCTGAAACAGCACACAGTCCCCAGGATGGGATTCACTCTGTCAGGCAGGCAGAGTCCTTCTGGCTGGCTGAGGCTGTTTTCCTTCTCACTCGGGGCTTACCTGCCACACTCACTTGTCACTGGCTGGTTCAAGAGTGAGCTTGGAGAAACAGAAAAATCCCAGCCCCAGTCCTCATCAATTCCCTGCCATTCTAATAACTCACAGCTTCGGCAGACGGACACACACATTCATTACCAAGTCTAATTAGGCTGTAGACAAGGAGCATTAATCATTTTTGACTACACCTGGAATTCAAGCCCCCATACTCCATAATCATAGAATTTCATGCTTTAATGAATGGGGGTTGGAATTAATCCCTTCACTTTCATCTTTTGAGATAATGGGAAGGGAAGAATGGAAAACTAGGGGTCTTGACTGGAGGAGTCAGAGTACCACCATTGCCCTTTCCTTATCTTTTAACACACACTCCAAAGAGGCCTTTCCCAAGAAGACTTTATTTAGAGCCAGAGGGGAGAAAGCTGGATGTTTCCTTATCATCTTCAACAACAAAACATCAATTTTAGTGCCTAATTTTTCTAGCTTCCCAAACAAAATATGAGTCTAAACTCAGGAAAACACCAGCTACTCCCTCCAGCACTGCTGGATTGCCCTGGGCAAACAGTTTCCAAGTGCCCAGAGGAAACACAGGAACCGTCAGCACAGCCAAGGGCTGTGCCACTATGCTTTTTATAAAGACCTTTGTCTGCCACAGTATGGTGGGGTGTGTATGGTGGCCTAAGTCAGGGTCCTAGTAGTCTTGCAAAGAGCCCCTAATAGAATTGGTGAGCTGCCACCGAGGTGGTGGCAATCCCACAAAGGATCTAGTAAAACCCAGCCATTAATACAGCAACAGGAATTAGAGGAGTCAGACAAGCAATTCCAAGACACCAGTAGCCCTCACGAAGAAAAGTCACGAGCCCCTCCCTAGGAATTCGGCAGTGAGTACATGTTCTCACACTGCCGTCAAAATCTATCACTGGAGGTGGAGGTTAGGGGACTGAGCCCCAGGGAGATCCCCCTTTCAAGCCTATCATTCCAATCACTTTATACCCATAGTTCTGAATAAGCACCCTTTCAGAGGGTCTCTTTTCCCAGAGCCAACCCGGGGCACCCAAGTATCAACAGCTTTCAACAGATACCTGAAGTCTCTCCTATCTGGATGAGAATTAGACTTAGTTTCTCCAACTGCCAGGCCATTCCTTGGCCCAGAATGGCTCACACACCCACTCAAATGAGACAAATGGCAGGTAGCCATCTTTATGTGCCTTCTACACAAGAAAGGGCAAGAGGCAGCTGGAGAAATTCCCAGGTTATTTGCTGTTGACTGTTCTCTCTGGGAATGTTAGAGTTAGTTAACGTCTCACCATTACCACCCCGCCCAAACACAAAGCCTTGGGGTTCTGCAGACTCTCACCTATGCTGGTTTCCTCTGCATGTATTTGTGCTAAACCCAGTAGATTTCCTTCTTTATCTAACAAATTTGATTTTGTGTGTACATGAATTGTGGGTGTGTTTGGAAGCCAGAGGTCAGCATGAGTCTCTCTCCTAACTGCTCACCATTTTATTTTTAAGATAGGGTCTCTCAGTGATCCTGGTGTACAGGTGAGCACTATAGGGCTAGATTTTTTACAATGAATCTGGGGATCTGAACTCACCTCTTTATGCTTGCTCTGTAAGCACTTCTGAGCCATCTTTCTAGCTCCCAGACTTAATCCTGAGAGTTAGCAATAGCTCTGATCTTTCCAGCATTAACCAGCACTGCTACAGACCATGAAATGGAATTAAACTTAAGCTAGGCAAGGCAAGTCTTTAAAATTTCTTTTATTGAAAGCCCATTTGCCAACTAGGCTCCTACCCAGTATCAGCCTCCTGAACAGACATGTCATTTACAGCCCCCCTGACCTTTGACTCTTAACAACATAGACAAACATCTGTTTCCAACCACCACTCACGGAAACCATCACAGCACCCTGCTGGTCATAAGTGCTATTCGGAAAGGGACCTCTAAGCCAGGCACAGGAGAACCTCAGCCACTGGAGTATGGGTTTCACCACAGCTGACTTCCACCTGAGATGCTAGGCAGAGATGTCATTTCTAGAGGATACTTCATACTTGAACTTCGAAGATTTAGTACTCACTTTCCCCCTTTCAACTCCACAACCAATCAGAGCTTGAAAACTGTACTCTACGCTGGTGAGGTATAGTGAGCCCCAGCCAGCCATGAAAGCTCTTAAATGGGAGGAGATGATAGTAACGTTTTTATCTAATTGGATGTTCATTTGTATCCTGCCAAGCACTTTTTTAATCAACTTGTATATGATTAATGAATCGAATTCTAGCATTGACATGATGCAGTAGATAAGACCATTATCCAAAAATTTTAAAGACAAGTGAGGGAAACACAGACATTCATGGGGCCACACAGAGACCCCATGGTCTCTGTGGAAGTTTGGATTCAAAGCTAGAACTTTGGTTCCAGTTTGAGGTGTGTGTGTTTGTGTGTGTATACATGAGTGTGTGCATCTATGGGTACAAGTAGGCTAGGGTTGGTCAGCAGGGACAGGAACCTCTATGTCTCCACTCCCCACCCAACACTGAGATTTTGAGCATGTGCCACGGTGCCTGCCTTTATTTTTGTTCATGTGGGTTCTAAGGATCAAGCTCAGGTCTTCACCCTTGCCTTGCCAATTGAGCTATCTTCCCCAGCTCGAAGATCCCTTTTAAAAGTCCCTTTTCTGATCCATGCTTTTCAAAATGAAAATAAAGCAAACAAACCCCTCTCAGGGAACCAGACCTCAGCTTAATACCAGATGCCTGGTGAGTCTGTTCTGCACACAAAAAAATTTCTCAACTTTCTCCTAGTCAGCCAAACACTCACAGTTAAATATTAAAAACAACAAACAGAGATCCCTTTCTATGGCTTCTTGACTCCAGTTCTGCGGCCTCTCTAGTGGTCAGACATCTCTGGCTGGTAGGAAACCCACTGCACAGGGGTCACAGGAACCCAAGAAGGCCTCAGCAAGTTGCAGGTCAGAGGCCTATGATCTCTGTTTTCCAACTGCTGGAAACTATCCAGGGACAGAGTGAGGGACATAAACAATTCTAAGTGAGGTCTGAGGATGCTCATTTAGTCATGGAGTACTGCACAGATACCCACACAGAAACCTGCCAGCACCATTATTGTGAACGTGGAGGACACCACAAACTCGGTGTGAAACTCATGGTCCGTCAAAGGCTGAATACAAGCAAGAAATACAACAAGCATATTTCCACAGCGAGCACAGCTTCTGGAATTTGAGCATAAGTACATCCATATCAACGAAGGTACTGGCTCTTTCCCTGTACACAAGGTTAGCGGATACTGCATGGCACCCAGGAACATCGAGGGAGAGAACACTAGCATATCCAAGGGTAAGTTGCACTGGATTCTTCTGCAGGTCAGCAGCACTTACAAAGGACAGCATCCACACACGGCACAGGCACAGGACTCTTCATGCCCAGCTCTCTCCTGAACAGGCACCTGAATGGGGAGTGCTGATGGTGGGAAGAACACACCTCCCTTCCCTTTCCCTCAATCCTGGCAGTGGCTGAGGGGGAGCTGCTGTGGACTACAGTAAGAGGAAAGGTAGGGCTAGCTGCTGCTCTCCAGCAATGCAGTCTGAGCGAGGTACAGGGTGTTATGGTAGGAAAAGGCCCTTCACCAAAAGATGTGGCGATGACTGCAATCCATTTCCACAGATGATTGCTAGAGACCGCCATTGTGCTGTGTGCTTCACATGTTTGAAGCGGCTACATAAACACATGGGTAGGAGTATCCTCTAGCAACAGCCGATACATGGTTGGTGAGGACGGACACATATTAAAGGAATGCACACAGTCTCACCATTGGAGAGAGGTAATCATAAGCTCTAACAAGAGCGAGGATTTGCTCAGACACTCTCTATACTGGTGCCCAATGTTTCAGTAAGGATTGAGTGAAGCCAGCAGATAACTGGGAATGCCTTGAGGAAGGAACCAGCTGGGAGCTTAGTGATTTTAACGATGGAAGACTGGTGCAGGGGCCCAAGAGAAAGAAGACGGAAGCAGGGCACAAAGGGTTGAAGAGTCAGGTGTGGAGGGCAGAAGTGACCTCAGGTGCAGTTGACCTCACCCTCACAGCTGTTTCCATTCAAAGCCCTAACTAGGCTTTCGGTGCCAACAGCTACACTAGAAGGAAGAGCCTGAGCAAAACCAAAGGGGACCAACAAGCCATTTCCCCATTAACTATAAGTAAGGGTCAAATATCAATACCACTATCCAATTCTAAAAATGTACGACTAAAGGAAGAAGAGGCCGTATGGAAGGCAACTGAATGACCTTGTGCAGAGCCATCAATCCCAACCTGCAAACAAGCGTGCCTGCACACACGGGGGAGAAGGCTCAGCCCCATCTGTATACATATAACCACATACACACATATAATCACATGGGGCCAGCGGGCAGCCACTAAAGGATACCAGGCAGTGGACAGCACTCCAAAGGTTACCTGCCTAAAGTTGGCTACAAAAGGCCTCCTCTCCCAGGCTAAGAGCCCTTCACCCTGCTCACCTCCCCTGCCCTCACTCACTAGCGCAACGCAGCGCCTGCCGCAGCACCTCCTGTCCGCACAGGTCACACCAGCCCGGGCCACCCCGAAGCGCCAGTTCCACGAAATGGTGCCCCTCGCCTCTCTCGGCCAGGACACGGGGATCCTGTGGCTGCTCGAAGATGCTCCGCACGTCGCGGGGTCGGTGAGACCCAGGCCGCCGCCGTAGTCTCTGCTGCAAACCGGGCCGGACAGGGCGAGCAGATCGGCAGTCTCGGGGTGTGGGCTCTGGGTCCCTACGGGCACTCCTCCGGCCGCCGCGACCCTCTGACACCTCGGACGCTGGGACCAGGGCGGTGGGGATGCAGCGGCGCGACCGGGCGGGCGGCGGCGGCGGCTCGGTGCCACCCAGGCTTTGCAGATATCGCGGACGCTCGGGGTCTAGGAGCAGCGGGTAGGGACGCTGCCCGATGGCCGGGGACGCCATGGCCAAGGCTGGCAAGCTGCAGCAGCTACCGAGCTTGGCGGACAGAAGAGGCGGCACCGGGCGAGCGCGCTTTTAAAGGGCCCGCAGCAGGCGGGGCGGGGCGGGGCCCTCGGAGAGGCCGGAAGGGTAACACGCGTGACTGCGGGCCGGAGCCGCCTGGATTTAAGGGCGACTCCCCGACTGGGGCCGTGAAGGTCCCAGAACCGGAGAGGGTTCGTCTGGCTCCCGGGCCTCTGCCTCTAGCCCTGCCTGGTTCGCTCTCGCATCTCCCACGCACTGACACCGGCAGGGCAAGGAGTGGGTGGGGGGAGGGCTTTGGAACCTGGAGGAGCCCGGGCACAGGAGCTAGCCCGCTGCTGTCACTAAGCGCTGCGGACGCTCCGAGTTGGCCGTGGGAAGCTGGCTAGGTTGATCCTCCCTTCGCACCTCTGCTGCAGAGGCTGCCCTTCCCCCAGTACTGGGTTAGAGTGATCCTGGATGACCTTTAGTGATGGATGATCCTGAGAGAGCTCTGTGTCCCGTGGGTGGACCGGAGCTTTTCTCCGGAATTAAACCTTCCTCTTAGCTGCCGGAGAAATCACTGCAGAAATGCCAATCCCCTAAACACTTTATTCCTTTATTTCTGGTGAGGAAGATTCACCTGTGCGGGAGTGGGAAGTGGAGAAGTCCGCACCCTACCAGCACGAAGGGGTCCGCCATAGGCTCCTGTCTGTCTTAAGGTTCTGCCGCCACCATCTTGAAAGTCCAATTCTCGAACAAACGACCAGGTGTTTTCTCTTTGCACTGGGTCTTGAAAATTATGTAGTGGAAATGACTAATGGGCCTGTCCACAGCCCCATTTCAAGGCAGAGAGAACAAGTGGGGCTATGGGCATCTTAAGTTTTTGAACCTGTGTCCTGTCCCTCTACAGTGTCCTTGGCCCTCTACAGTCTGTTTTTGTAGCTGCAGTCCCCATTGCTCTGCCCAGTCGCGCCCCACCCACCCACCCACTTCCCCCGTTCTCACACTCTACCCCTTATATCACAGGTTTGAATTGGTTGATTTAGCTGCAGTCACCAGCAAGCAGCTTTGGGAATAGAGTCACTCCACCCTATCCCCAAATTCTGTATTTTGGGTTTCAACAAACTACTGATAGAAATATCAGGGGTGTGTGTGTCTGTATAAACATATACACATTTTTTCTCGTTACTATTCATTAAATAATACTGGATAGCAATGATTCATACACATTTACACAATACCGGGTATTATAAGTAATATAGACATGGCTGAAATGCATAGGTTCTCTGTGCGCACTAAGCTAATTTATAAAAGGGAGGAGCATCCTCAGGTTAGAGTATTAGGGACAATGGTGTGTATGGAGTGTGTGGAGGATTCTAAAACCAGACCTGGAATTGTCTATAAATTCATCTACACCTTAATCCTTAATCCTCAGGGTTCTTTCCAGGCCAGAGACGGGTCTCCCCTAGTGTCTGGCTGGGGAACCCTCACTTTCACTTTTCCCCTTGAAGGTAATTTCGGGCAATTCCTAAAAGTCCAGCAGCCAGGGAATTCCCAGCCTTCCTTGCCTCTCTCCCACACAGCCTCTCTCCCAGGGTGGTGATAATAAGAGTCCTCCACCTTCCAAGTTGCTGGTAGAGTAGAGGTTCCTGGATTCATTGGTTCCCGGGTGTTGGGAAGAAGGACTAAGTAATGCAAAATGGAGAGAGAGAGAGAGGAAGAGGAAGGAGGAGGGGGAGGAGGGGAGGAAGAGGAGGAGGAGGAGGAGGAGGAGGAGGAGGAGGAGGAGGAGGATGGGAAGGTGGGCCACGGTGGTCCCTGCTCCCCACCCTTCCTCTTCCTAGCCCTAGAGAGATTGCTAAATCACAGCTTGCTGGCTGCACCTGGATTCCTGGATGGGTAGGTCTGGGCTCAGATACTGGACTTGCATTTCTCTCAAGTTCCCACGTAGTGCTGGTGCCAAGGGTCCACTCAGAACTACTGTTCAGGAGCCATGGCAGCTGTGAGAAAATGAACCACTCTGCTCCAGACTACAGGATCTTTGGGGTGGGGCTGGTTATAACTGAGAGAACCTCAGCAGGGGCTGTTCCTTGGTACTTTCTCTGAATGTGTGAAAAGGGAGGTACAGCCTGCCTTTATGGCCTCTTACTCCTCCTCTCTGGGATTTCTGCAAGCTCCCAGAGTTCTTGTAGAATCCTGTGTGGCATATAATATTTGTTTTTTTTTTTTCCACCCTGTGTCATCCTTCCATCTCCCTCTCAGGCATGCCATGTTCTGGGTGAGATCTGGGACAGAAACCCAGCTTGAGTTTGGGGTGACAGTTTGGTGTGTAATTAACACAATTCTGATAACAAATACAGCATTAGAAGGCCAGTTTTTGAAACACTATGAATACTAGCTAGCCACTGTCATCTCTGACTTCCCCGTGCTCAGGCCATTTGGGACTGACCTCAATTCCCTGGCTGGGAATACTCCTTGGGTGGGCACCGGTATTGATTGTGAGTGACTGAGGCTGGCTGGGACAGTCAGGTGTGCAGCCTTCTCAGCTGTTAGGCTACATAGAAGACACTGTGGACTTTCCCGTGACTTCGATTTGATGGAGTAGTGTTGACTGCCTCCAGAGTTGATGGGGAAATGGTACGGAGCCAGAGCTCCTGGGATGGAGACAGGTGGCAATAGTATAACTTTGTGTAACCCACCCAAACCTTTATCATGTTTATTTTAAGATTCATCTCCCTGAAACAAGAAAATTGAGGTCAAGGTAGAGTAGTAGCTACCCCCCAACCTTAATAGATGTGGGACTTACCTCCCCAATCTTTCCCAATCCAGTCCCCTCCTCTGTCTCATGAAAGAGCATCTCCTTCCACAACTTTGTCCTTGGTCACCAGGCTGCAAGGCTTCACCACATTTGCTGAAACATCTTCTGGGAGTTTTTCTCCTCCTTAGCAGACCATCTTGGCTCAGCACTTGTCACTTTTCCCAGCTGTGACTCATTCCAGCACAGAGGATGTGCTGCTCTGCATTTTTGACCAAGAGGAAGGATTATGGTGAATTGCAGTCAAGATCACCTTGCAGGTGGTCCCAAAATATGTTGTTTCCCCTACTGGGTGAGTTATTGCAAAACTATCCCCCAATCTCTACTTCTATCCCCTAGTAGAAAAGAAAAGGGAAGGGCAGGCATGGCCTGATTTTCTGAAGGGGACACTTTGTTTTTGTCTGATTTTGAGGCATTTGAAGTTGCTTAAAATCTCTGAAGGTTTTAGGGAACCCTGGGGATGTTGGAAGTTGCGCATTCATAGGATTACTATATCAGTCAGGGTAAGTTATGTTGCAAATATAGCCCCATATTTTGGCGCATTTAAATAATGGAGACTTCTTTCCCACTCATACTACATGTTCTGTGCTGGATGGCAGGGCACTCCCATAAGAGTCACTCAGGAACTCATGAAGATCCCAGACACCATATCTAATAAATGTGTTCAGAAGTTCCCAGCATGATGTTCTATGACTAGCCTATATTTTATAAGAGATTTTTATTAATATGACACATGAACCACAGAAAATAGGTCTGAAGCAGTGGTAAGAAAAATTGTGTGATTCCTCTACAACATTTGAGGCTCAGCCTCCACAAGAAGAGGTTCTTGCTTGCAACTTTCAGTGTGGGCCAGGGACACCTCATATTGCTAGAGAATAACAGATCTGTGAAGATCTCTTGTAAACTGTGAAATGGCCAGTGTTCCCATTTTACAGATTAGAAACCAAGGCACAGGATCATGTGACTGGCACAGCATAGGTCCTAGCCTGGATTCCAGACCACCCAAATCCACATACTGGCCTTTGCAGTGCCTGCTGGAGTGGGAAGGGGCAGTGGATAAAACCCTGATCTGAATATAGATGCATCAAAGAGTCAGAATCCTTATCCAGTTTTCTTCCCATTTTCATAGCACTCTACTTCCTTGGTCAGGTCCAGTTGTCAGGTCCTGCATCTCAGGGTCATCCCAGGGTCACCCAACCATCACTCCATCCGTATCTCTACCATCACCATTATCCTAATAGGAGTTGCAGGTGGCCTTTGATTTGTCTCCCTCCTTGAGTCTTGTTGGTCTTTCTGACCCCCTTTTCTATGCAGGACAAATAGGAGGTACTGGTGTTGGTCCAGTGGAGTGAGCTCAGTTGTAGCCTCATAACCAATGTCTAGTTCAAAACATGTGTTTTTCTTCTAAGCTATAGAAATAAAGGACATGAGCTGATGCTCTAGTGATAATGGAAGATGCCCTGAGATCTTCAGGGCTAGAGGGGAAGAAGAGGGACTTGGAAGCTTGAGCCACCCTCCAAAGTGCTGAGCACTGTGGTGAATTTGCTGTATCCAGATGCTTCTGACTAGCCAGGACTGAGAGATGGATAAGCACCATGTCCATTCTTTGGCATGACTTTTTTTTTTTTGCTTATTTTGTTTGTGAGCAGAGGTCATAGGACAGCTTACAGGGGAGTGGGATGTGTTCTCTCCTTCCACCAAACATGTCACCAAATGCTTATACTCTCCAGAGCATTTTTCTCTGTCCTTGACAGTACTTAAGGACAAAAAGTGTGTGTGTGAGTGAGTGAGTGTGTGTGTGTGTGTGTGTGTGTGTAGGGGTGCTCCTGAAAAGTGTTGCTATTAGGCTGGGGTACCAGCTTCATGGCACCTCCTCCCTCTGCATCTGAAATGTGCAATTTTTCCACCCTGTGCTACAGCCAAACTTGTGATAGGCTGGATTGTATGTGTGCACACAGTTTCCTTTTGTTTTATTTTTCCTACACTGGAAAAACTCAGATATTCCAAACATATTTGTCAGTGGCTTTTATCCTTTAGCCAAAGGAGAGGCTACAAGCCACAAGCCCTGATATTCCAGGAGCAGGTCTGCTGTAGTGGCAGCGAGCCCGAGACTGAGGTTAGGACAGATTACCAAGCACAGAGTGGCTTGGATGACATCATGGGCTGTCCCTACCCCACTTCAGCCCCACTCCACCCACCATGAGCCCCTTCTGTCTCTCTGATGCCCTCATTTCTGCTCCCCTTGGTGTTTTTCCATTTCTCTCTCCTTCCCTGCCACTCCCACTCCTTCCTTTCTATCTCTCCCCTTCTTTCCTCCCTTCTTCCTCTTTCCTTCCCTCCCTCCCATCTCTTCTGCCTCCCCACTCTGTCTGGTGAGGAAGGTATGGGAAGCTAAGGCTCTGAAAGGCAGTTATTCTGACTTGTCAGCCTAAAAACAGGAAGTACCTTGGGTCACCCTGGCCCAGATCATAACCTTTCCCACTAGGGTTGCCCACTGTGGTGCTTTGAGTGAGAATGGCCCCCGTAGGCTCATATGTTTATTGGGAAGGGTCAGGAGGTGGGGCCTAGTTGAAGGAAGTGTGTCACAGGGTGGGTTTGGAGGTTTCAAAAGCCCATACCAGACCCAGTCTCCCTCTCCCCCTCTCTCTCCTGTCTCCTGCATGTGGATCAAGATGTAAAGCTCTCACTGCTTCTCCAGCACTATGCTTGCCACCATGCTCCCCCGCCATGATGATAATGGACTGACCCTCTGAATTTGTAAGCCAGCCCCAATTGAAGGCTTAAATAAGAGTAGCCTTGGTCATGGTATCTCTTCACAGCAATAGACAGCAACTAAGACACCCACTCAGGGTCCTTCCTGCCTGATAAGTGACAGTCTGAGCCAGGCCGTACAGACTCTATCTTAAAACAAACAACAAAACCCTTAACTTTAAAGACAGGACAGAAATTGTTGGAGTGTTTCAGAAGGGTTTTCTAAACAGTTAAGAACAGCACCCACTAATGCATCGGTGCTGAAGAGAGGAGCCACAGAAAAGCAAAAGGCAGATGCTGAAGGAAAGTAGCCAGGCCACTGAAGTTCTTCCAGCCATAGACTGTCTTCCCTAGATTGAGCTGTCCAGGAGGGGCAGGGTGAGGTCCCCATTCCAGGGTCCATTCATGGGTCATTATAAACTCTGCCTCACCAAGGAAGCACACCAGTAATGCAGATTCCTGGGCCACATCCTTCCCCAGCCACTTGGATTCAAATGTTGGGTGGGGCCCTGGAATTGTGTTTCTAACCAGATACTACTCTCCAAGAGCAAACTGGAGCCTTAAAGACCTGCTACACAGACCTACAGCACCAAGGCATGGAAGGAAGCTCTAGTCTCCTCCCTCTTCCCAGCTGCCTGTGCTCTGGCCTGAGGAGCTGGGATGGCCCTTCACACTCCTAAGAACTCTAACTTAAGCTAGTCTATTCTCAGAGGGTGCCCAGGTACATCTAAATGCAATGGGGCATCTTTCCAGATGTCTGCAAAAATCTGAGCCCTTTGCTCAACCTGAGACCCTCTGTTTCCCAGCACAGGGACCTCAGTGCCTGTGAGGTACGGGTTGAGGAAGGAGTACAGAGAGCATTGTACATGACTTTCCACCCTCCACACTGGCACTGAAGAATGGTATCTTTACATACCAGTTGGACTTGACTTAAAACCTGTCGGGTTCCTTAAAACAAAGCCCACATTCCAGCCCTGACCTTTGGGGCTGGCTCCTCCCTTTCCAAACTTCCTACTTCAGCCTACTGCTGAGGAATGCAGAAATGCACGCCTGTGCTTCTGCCCAGTGTGTTTCAAACCTCTCACATGCTCCCTAAGAGTCTACTTTGGGACCATCTGCTCCCAAGTGACACACTCCCAGTCACCTCTAGCCACCCTGCCCAGCAAGAAGGAAGACTCCTGCTTCATCTGAGCTGTGCATTCCAATCACAACACTGAAGGAAACTGTCCCATGACTGCCTTTCCCCAGGGCCTAGCTCCTCAGTGCCAGTCAGTGTCCTTGTCACCCTGGTAGCTTTAGTAGCTGGCAGGAGCCTGACCTTCTCAGTTTGCACCTGATGAACTGACTGGATTATTTTTATCTTAAGGAATTGATGCAGGGAACAGAGGGGCAATTTCAACGATCTTCAGACACCCGGGGCTCTTATTGGTGCCTCTGGTTGTGGGCAATGGCTACTCACATTCTTCTGAAAGAAACTAGAAACTACATTTAACCACCCCGGTCAGCTGAAGCCTTTGAGGATGTTCCTCAACTTGTGGGCATGCTCAAGAGATCAGGCACTGGATTGTGTTACCTCCCAAACACCTGCATCTGGCTCCACAGGATCCCCTGGCTCTTTTGCTGTGCTCCACCAAACGTGGGTTCTGAGCTTCTGGGAAAAAAACCACTGCTGGACTACTGATGAGCAAAAGCTGGCCTGAATCACTCCCAGAAAGCATGCTGGAAGGGCTATCAGGGCAGAACTTGGGTCCATGGGCTTAAGGCTCAGAGAGAATACATGAAGGAACAGGGCCTAATTTAAGCAGTTAGGCTCTGTCTGACCTCTCTCCCTGGGCTGCTCTTTCTATAGACATCACCTCTAGGACTCTGCCTTCCCCACTCCTGGCCCTGCTGGGTCATTAGGGAGAGCACTCTCCAGGGATGGGGAGACTTTCATGAAGACAAGGTCTATTTTGGCCAATCACTGAACTGTCTCATGCTTCAAAGCATGCAGTGGGGGTTCTTATTCGCTTTCCTCTCCTACAGAAGCCACCTTACTGTATTGGCTAAAGGAAGGGTAGAGAAGAAAGACAGTTTGTAAGCAGCTTGCACAAACTATGGTGCTTTACCCAGATGCCCCTCTAGCTGCTAGGCTCAATAAAGGAAAGCTCTACAGTGGTCCTCAAACATTTTAGACATAGCCTAGATTGTGAACAGTGATAAGGATCAGGGAAATCAGAAGATGATTAGATGGTAGGCTGGGAGTAAAAAAAAAAAAAAAAAGGCAAACTCCTCCCAACCCCCATCCAGGCTCCTTATGTGGTCCCTAAATGACAGGGCAGGAAAAAGGAGATCTTTTAGGGAGAGGCCATCTTCCCTAAAATCAGAACCCACTGGGGAGAAGGTGGGGACCAGGAAATGAGCACTCTGTTCCATTTTCCAATGCTTCTCTGGAGAGGTCCCCTCCCAGACCTCAGGGCTTTCCCACCCCTTCTCCTTCAGGTTCCATAGCTGAGGGAAAACAGAAAAGGCAGTGCATTGATTTTATTTCTGAAGGTACGAACCTGCTTTCTGCTTAGAACCCTGGCTTCCAACACCTGTCCACTTGGCATGGCTACTTGTTTATACTGACCAGTTGTTTCTCAGACCTAAGGGGTGCCTCAGGGAGGGAAGGCAAAGGGGGAATCCCCCAAGTACCAGTAGTTGGCCTCAACTACTTATTTTTTTTCAAACGCAGGTGCATTAAGACCAAGCACAGAGGGGCAGTTTATGAGTTGCCTGTGGCCAGGAATGGGGACCCTCAGGAAACAGCCTGCTATGTTCAATAGGAAACCATGAAGATTAAGTCCTCTGATCCAGCACCCTGAAGAAGCACCAGGAGAAGCCTGCTCATCCCTGGGAAGTGCAGAATGTGAAAGGGTTGAGGGCCTTCTTCCCAAGGCCCACCTGAGTTCAGACTTCCACACCTGGATGAGGAAGAACAGTCTTGGTGTCTGCTGGATAAGGCAGTGGTAGCTGCACGCTTTCTCCTGTAGGTGCTGTCCCAACCTGTTTCCCAAGAGGACAGACAGTCAAAGTGTTAGGCCCAGCATGAGCCTAATTTCTAGAAGGGATGAAGAGAACTCAGGAGACGGATCTCATTGATGCAAAATCCCAAGAGGTTTATTTTGACCATTGCTCAATGGTGATCACCCCTGCTGATCACCAAGGAGTGGCACTGGGAGACAAAGGCCTTGGGTTTTTAAAGGACAAGGATGGGAATTTTTAGAGGTTTCAGTCTTGGCAATTCAGGATTGGATGAGGTATTTAACTTTTAAAATAATTGGTTGGTGCTGGGCACCCTTAGGTCCAGTCAGCCCTGTTGTAAATATCTGATCTTCAAGTCAGTTTGGAATTTCCTGCCATATGAGATATAGCTGCAGTTAAAGGTGGGAGAGTTATTAACTCATCCCATGTCTGTTCTGAGGAGTAGGGGCTACAGGCTTTGGGTCAAAGGTCAGGAGCTATTCAGGAAAAGGATTGGGGCCATTTGGCCCAGTTTCTAAACAAAGTTTATCTCATAGGCGCCGACCAGCCAGTGAATTTCTCTCCACAAGTAGAGATCTCTGCTTGTTCTCTTCCTTATCCTGTCCTCACAGATGGCTAATGTCAGGAACTTTTACATTCCTCTGTTCTCTGGAGAAGCACTAAGAGGCTTTAATTAACATGGGCCTAAAACTTGAAAATATAAGTTATAAGGCAATTAAAAGAAACATAGGTTACAAAGTTAGTCTGATTCTTTCAAAAGTACTGCTACTTTGTTGGCCAGTGGCCAAGAGGGAGGTAGGCTGGTGAGATGGGACCAGAGCTTGCCCTGCATTTGGTCTCACAGTGTAGGGGTATAGTATGAATGGTTCTAATCTACCCTTGTGCCTTGTGCATTCCCAGAAAGCTCAGACATCTGGTGCTGATGGGACTCTATGTAGCCTGAAAGGAAAAGCACAGGTCAGAGTGGCACAACTGAAGATGGAACCCCAGGGCCACCAACGTTCAGGAACACACAGCCATCAGCTCCTCAGTTCCCTAGCTCTCTTCCTGTAGGATGCTTGTCCCCAGACACTGCCTTCTGCTTTTCATCTCCGATCTGGAATCACCTGGAGAGCTTAAAAGGCCCCTAGCCTAGGCCTCGATCAGGGTCTCTAGAGCAGTGCCCAGAAACCCTGCACGTTTAGAAGCACCATTGTTTTAATGTGAAGATACTCTGGGAGGCCAGAAAGGGTCCAGATTGGTTCATTAGGCTCTTTGGCTGCAGGTCTGAATGCGGAAGTGCAAATTTACTAAAGCAAAGTTCTGAGATGTTTGTAAATAGACTATAAATCGCAGCAAGAAAGATTTATGTTGGCATTAATGATTAGAACTTCCTGCTCAAGAGGACAGAGGCTGTGGAGGAGATAGATTCTCTTTGAGCTGGAATGAAACTGGGAACAGATGTGCCCCCCTCCCCCTGCCAAAGGAACCCTCCTAAACTGGGGACAAGTTACAGAATCTACTGGTTGCCTACCTCCTGACCCCAATTCCAATGTCTCAAAATAGCATGTGGTGGTCTGAATGACAATAATCCCCAGTGTGTTTGAATATTTGATCCCTACTAGGTGGAACTATTTGAGAAGGATTAGGAAGTGTGGCTGTTTTGGAGGAGGGAAGCCTCTGGGCGCTGGCTTTGTGGCTTTTAAAAAGCCCATGCCAAGGTGGGCATAGTGGTGAATGTTTTTAATTCCATCTCTTGGAAAGTAGAGGCTGGTGGATCTCTGATTTCGAGGCCTGGTCTAAGAACAGCCAGGGCTACACAATGAGACCCTGTATCAAACAAACAACAAACATGCTTTATAAAGTGGGACTGCTACAGAGCAGACCTTCTGTTCTGTAAATGTGCTCCTGAGTCATTGGAGCAGCTGGCAATCCTGGTATTAGAATCCCAAATCCTGAGCACTGCTGCTGGTCCCTACCCACCAAGGAGAGGGTGCTATCTAGAGATGCACCAGCCTGGGCACTCTGAGAGCAGTTGGGAAGGATAGATCCCATGGCTCAGGAGACAGACTTTGGGCAAAAATGTCAGTTTGTCTGTGCTGTGGTTTCAGGGGGAGACATAGTGGCATCCACTCCAAGAACACATGAGAAGATCCCAGGGAACATGTGCGAGAGCCCACATTCAGTGCAGAACTCTACCCACAAGTCCACTTGTCTCCAAGCCTCACTCTGATGTACTGAGGCTAGGTAGCTTCAGGCCCTGTGAGCAAAACCCATACCTCCTCAAGATGGTGCCCTGTCTATGGATGAGATCTTACACTCAAGCATGGTTGCTTAGAGAATCAGCAAGTACCATGGATCCTGTCTGGAGAACCCAGGGACTCTGCTCCCTGCAGCCTGGCAGCAGGGAGGACACAGCACTCTCCTGACATGTTAGATGCTTACCGTTCGATGAGGCAGTTGTTGTCCTGGAGATCAAAGGCCAACAGCTTCATATCAGTACAAAGCTCCTGCACACTGTCCAAGGAAAAAGAAAGAGGTGGCTGAGGCCCAGGCCACTAGGCCCAGAGCTCTCTTGCAGAGGCCATGGAGCAGCCTCTTTAGGGTAAAGCAAATGTGGTGTTGGCCTCAGCACCTTTCTACCCCACAACTCTCCAGCACTTACTGAAAGACCAAGTCCTTTGGATCAGGTCTGGGATGTGGAGCCATGGATTGTGGCGAGACCTGAGCCCCCTGTCCAGAAGCTCTGTCCAGAAGGAGCTGATCAAAGATCTGAAGGGAAGCCATGGGTTAGTCAGGAAGGTGCTATCAGCTCATGTGTGGCTGGGTAGCGGATATGCTGAGGAAGGTAACATATCTGCCCTCACTCTGTCTCCCCAGAACTATCCAGTCTTTTTTGTTTTTCAAGACAGAGTTACTCTGTGGAGCCTTGGCTGCCCTGGACTTGCTTTGTAGACCAGGCTAGCCTCAAACTAATAGAGATCTGCCTGCCTCTACTATCCAGTCTTTTCAACATGCCACTCCTTCCCATCCTGGGAGTCCCACTGGTGTAGCTGCTTTCCTTCATCTGTACTGAACTGAATGATTCAGTCTGCCAAGTTTCCCTTTGGGTCCAACCTAAACCACTCATGACATACTATGAGCCACAGTTTGGGATAGATGCTGTTCCTGGCTAGTCAGATGCTGGAAGCCACATGTATCTGTCCCCTAGAAGCTCCCCCTGTATTCCCTGTGGCCGGCTAGACAGCTGCCTTGGCAGAGAATAAATCAGAAGGCCAAGGGTAGCTCATGTAACCTCTCAAGAGCAGCCTTGGGACCTCCAGGCTGGACAGAACCTGAGGAAGATGTCCCAGCAGACAGAGCCTTTGCTTATAGTGACCCTCAGTCTGAAATGACTAGGAATGTTCCTATCTTGGGGCACATGTGTGGGTCAGAGAACTCCAACCCTCATGGGCATCCCTGAGTTTGGTCAAGGCTTCTCTGTACACTGGCAGGAAGTGATCCAAATGCCCCTCCCCTCAGCAGCCCCTAGTGTCCCCAAAGCACCCACACCTTACACAGGCTCTCCTGAGCTTCCCAGGCCTCTGAGTTATAGGCAGCCACAGAGCAGCCAATGAGGTGCAGGTGGTTCTGGGCCTTCTGAACCTGCCTTAAGTAAAGAATGAGATTAGAGCAGGAAGGACATGGCTCTCCATTGCTGGGACTTCCCAGCTGTTGTCAGCTCACCACGGGTACCTAAGCAGAGTTCCCTTTATGACTCTGTCCTTCTGGGTCTCACTAACCTCTCCTGCCTGCCATGCTGCAGACAGTTGCTCCAGAGGGAACTGAGAGAATCCCAGCAGAGCCAGGGGAGGGATCAATAACAACACCCATGTAAATGCGGCTTGGTCACACGAATGGGTATGGTAGCACTGAGCCAGGTAAGGCTTGAGAGACAGATGACAGTCCTGGCTAGCGCATTGCCTTGAGTAGTGACAGTCCACACTAGAGCACTTATGTGAGGGGTGTCCATGCTTCCATTTCCTAACAAAATAAGGGCAAAACTTGAGAATTCTCTCCATTAAGAGGACAAGTGGGGACATTTCCCCTTGCACAGAGGATAGCAAGTCCCAGGTCCATTGAGCCAATTTGTTTTCAACTCTGAATACACATTAGAATTATTGGGGATAGCTCTTAAACTCCTGATGTCTAAGATCTGCCGAGGAGGTCGAATCAGAGTGCTGGGGTTGTCAGGCACTGTATTCAAATGTGAGGGTGGAAAGAACACTGGCCCATGACAAGCCCACAGGACACATAGCACTCAGGAAACTGACCTTTCTTCTCAGGGGTCCCAGGAAAGTATATTAGGAGACCATGGGCCTGTTAGAAAAAGGGAGTCCCATACTTGGGAAGAGTGTGAGGGAGGTATGGAAGCCTAGCCTGGTTTTCCTGCCTACTTGAAGCTTAGCTGTTTCTCTTCTTCCCTAGGGGAGCCTTCCTGGAGAGAAGAGACCCATCATAACAGGCAGGGACAGCAGGTGAAATCCAGATGTTAGGGACACCTTCGCCCATGTTCTAGACCTTAGTACTATTTATTAGCTCAGTGAAATTAAGAAGACACCAGTTCTTTGAGCCCCAATCCCCTCATCTGACAAAGGAGGTGCTAACATTTGCTGTGTAAACACTGGGGAAACAACTAAGCATATTTGTAGATATCACCCAGAGGACTGCCTGGCCCACCATTTCTTCACTTCTTACTAGCTCATCTCTTACTCAGGCCTGGCAGAACCCAGTGCCCTCTGAAAGAGCTGGGCCAGCCGAGGCTCTGTGAGCACAAAGGAAGGGCCAGGCTGTTTACCTCATCTACTTGCCGTGTGTGACCAGCAACACCCGATACTTCTGCACGCACTCCTCCTGGAACACCTGAAGGAGCCTCTTGGCTTAATGACTAAAATTCACCCTGGAAGAACAGAGACCGCATGGTCTAGAGGTGAGCAGCTAGAGCCACCTACCTGCAGAGTTAGCCCTTTTGCCACTGCCAGTCACAAATGCCAGCCTCTGAGCTCACAGCAGGGGCGTATCTCAGGGAAGAAAGGATGGCCACACACTAGGGTTGCAAAGCCCAGAGGCCAGCAAAGCCACATGTACCAATAAGGAGCAGGGGAGGTTGATACGGTGGCCAGTGAATGCATCTACTCTCAACCTTATCCCTGGGAGGAGTAAGGAAGCTCAGCTATGAAAAGCACATAAGCACATGAGTGTGAGCATGGGTGTTTGTGCGCCTGTGCGCAGGAGTTAGACGTGGGATAGCTCTGGGAGATAAAAACCTCCAAATAGCCTTGTGCAGGAGTTAGACGTGGGATAGCTCTGGGAGATAAAAACCTCCGAATAGCCTTGTGGAAGATGTGGGTATCCAGGAAACAGTATCTGTGAGAAGCCAGGCACGGTCCCCACCAAGGTCAAAAGCAGGGAGTGGGAAGAAGCCCATCAGTGAAAATAATTAGAGAGAAAATCCTACAAACAGACTTGTTCATGCTGGGAGTAAAGCCAGTTACATTAAGGTTGGTTGTGAGAAACCTCTGACTCAGCTGGGCATTGTCCCTCCTCTGACCCTATATAACATGGTTTGGATAGTTGTCCCATTTGCCCAGCCATGGCCAAGGGTCAAAGCGCTTCCCTATTCCCCTCCTGGAATGAAGACTCAAGCCATCCCCCATCCCGATGACCTCCATCTGCCTGCCAGGGAACAAGGTCACTCACTTCTCCAGCTTGTGGATCTGCTTCTCATTGTAGCTGAGGCCTGAAGGAAACAGATGGGAATGATGTCACCACTCAACCACTCAGCAACCAAGTTAAAAAGTTGGTTAACCAAGTTAAAAAGACGAGGGCAGCCTAGGGTGGGGGCTATTTTAACCAAGTTAGAAAGACGAGGGCAGCCTAGGTTGGGGGCTATTTTATGGAATCTCAGGCCTGGGCGAGCCAGGAGGGGATGAGGAAATGGAGCATCAAGTAACATTATTGTTGTGATTGAATGACTGGTTATGATTTAGGGACAAAGGAGCTAAGGAGAAATGCTATGGGGCTCCAGAGGGAGGCAAACCCTCTGTGTGTGTGTGTGTGTGTGTGTGTGTGTGTGTGTGTGTGTGTGTGTGCCGCACATCAGAACCTGGGAAATGCTGCACATGGGGAATGCTGGGTGAAATGGTCCTCAAAGGTGCTAGGGAGCTGTGACCCTACATCCACTACCCTCTCCAACTGGCATCCCCAGGGTGACTCACAGGTAGGTCACTACCTTCTATCCATCCCTCTCACCCCAGAAACTATTTTTAGAAGGAACAACTTGGTTAGACATATCCTGCTTGCATGAAGCTACCACCTGAAGACTTAAAAGGTCATGCACTGAGGGGAGACTGCCTCCTGCTGGCCTTTGAGGGTGTAGGTCCCCTGAGCGGTAATCCCGAGGTTATGAGCAGTGGTCCTCAACCTATGGTTGCTACCTCTTTGGGGATGACTGACCCCTTTCATATGGGTCACCTAAGACCATTGGAAAACACAGATATTTAAATATAATTACAATTATGAAGTAGCAACAAAATAATTTTATGGTTGGGGTCACCACAATGTGGGGAACTGTATTAAAGGGTCGTAGCATTAGGAAGGTTGAGGACCACTGATTAAGATACTGATTTGCCCTTCCACTTTCTCATCCCATCAATCATCCCAGTGTGGGCATAAAATTATTGTATAATTCAAATGCTCATTTCTGTAACCCCCTATCTGGTTGCAATTCTTGTTCTGAGAATCTCCTGTCTTAGTGTTGTGTAAACACTGCTCTCCAATTGTCCCCTGATATGCCAATAAAGTAGCTTACAGCCAATCACTGACCAGGGAAAAGGTGTCAGCCAGGGGAGAAGTTAGAGGAGGAAATGGGGGATTCAGCCATGGAAGAGGTCCAGAAAAATTCAGGAGAGGAGCTGGAGTAGGGAACGCCACAAAGTGTAAGTATCTAGGGAATTTACTCTGGAAAGAAGCCAGATTAGTTTAAAGGGTTAAGAATACAGTCATAACTGCTCAGAAATTGTGTTGTGAAGCTTATTATTAAACAAATAGAGTCTAAGTTATTTGTGTGATAGCCAGATTAAGAGAGAAAAACAGTTTTATAAAAATATCCTTAACACCCCAGTGGCAGGATCAATTTCCTGGGTCTGAACTTGTGAAGGCCAAGGGACCTGATCATACCCCAGCCCTTTCTCCTACCAGGCAGCTGTGTGCAAGTGACTTGGCTTGTGTAATGGTCACATGCACACATGGATGCCTATGTGAATCACGGGAGAGTGACCTGAAGACAGCCAAGCAGCCTTCCAGAATGGCATCATATAACACTCCAGGTGCTGGCCATTATTTCTGTTTTCAACACAGTGCTCTGAAAGAGCAGTAAATATGGAAACTCTTGAGGCTGTAAAATGGGATGGTTAAAAAAGCCTGGACCTACAATAATTGAGCTAACAACCCATTCTGTGCCTCAGTTTCCTATAAAACAAGAAAACTGTGATGCATGGAAGATTGTTGTTGTTTGTTTGTTTTTGAGACAGGTTCTCTCTACATAGCTTTGGTTGGCCTCAAATTCACTATGTAGACCAGGCTGACCTGAAACTCACAGATATCCACCTGTCTTTCCCTCCTGAGCTCTGGGATCAAAGCTGTGCACCACCACGCTAGGCAGTGCATATATGTTTTTGTTTTGTTTTTTAAAATAAGCACTATAACTCAAGGCCCTACTGAGTCCTTAGGTTGGTACCTAACTAGGTAATACTTTAAAACTTAGGTGGCAGGATTATGGTGTTCCAGACATGGAGGTAGACCAACCTTCTCCTGAAACCACAGCACTGGCCAGCTAGGTACCCTTAGTTGAGCCCTAGGTCCTGCTGCTCCCTGGGACAGGAGGGCTTGCCTTCCCCATGTCTTCTGAGGTCAGACTCCAAGGGAAGCCAAAAGCCAAAGGAGAGATGACATGTTCTGTAGATCTCTATGTCCTCATTGGTGACTGCCAGACACAAGTGGCTATGGAGCACCTGACATGTGGCCATGGTGATTGAAGACCTGGATTCTTAATTGAATGTATTCAATTAATGTAAAATTCAAAACTGAAGCAAGGTGAAATGTCTTTTCCACTAAATACAGCTTTTTAATTTTGTTACGACTTATAACATTTACTGAACACTCATCTTCTAGATAGAGACATAAAGTATAAAATACACATGGGCTTCTAAAAATTTAGCATGAAAAGGCACATAGAACATCTCTTGTTTTTTTTATACTCAATATAGAGTATATGCCAAAATAACATTAGGATATATTGACTTGAATAAAATATATTAAATTAATTTTGCCTGCTTTTTTTTTTAATTTGGCTGTGAGAAAACTTAAGTTACACATGTGGCTAGAAATTATGTTTCTTGTGACAGTGCTTTATAGATTACCCTGGGGCCAGAAGAGCATTAGGCAATGAGAAAGGTATAGAGATGTTTGGAGCATAGGGCAGGGGCAGAGTGAGCTCTGACATATTAGCTCCCTAGATAACTGGGGTTTTTATATCCAGGCTTCCCCAGCTCCATCCCCACTCCTTCCCAGGTTCAAACTTCACCTTGTTTACTCCACTCTCATCCAGCTCAGGCAAGCAGGTTTCCATTCCTAAGCCTGTGAAGTATTGTTCCTGCCCAGATGGTCTTTGTGGACATTTAAAGATAACGTAATAAATCTCTCAGTCCAGGAATTCTAAAGGGAATTTCTTCTGATTCCACATTCCCAGACAAACTGACTCTATTTTAAAAAAATATTTTTATTTAACTTTTATTAATTACACTTTATTCATTTTGTATCCCCCCATAAGCCCCTCTCTCCTCCCCTCCCGGTCCCCCTCTCCCCCCACTTTCTGCATGCATGCCCCTCCCCAAGTCCACTGATAGGGGAGGTCCTCCTCTCCTTCTTTCTGATCTTAGTCTATCAGATCACATCAGAAGTGGCTGCATTGTCAGGGTTCTAGGTTATCTCCATGAATAGTCCTTGGTTGGAGTATGAGTCTCTGGGAAGACCCCTGTGTTCAAATTTTCTGGTTCTGTTGCTCTCCTTGTGGAGTTCCTGTTCTCTCCCGCTCTTACTATTTCCCACTTCTTACATAAAATTCCATTCACTCTGCCCGACAGTTGGCCATCAGACTCAGCAGCTGCTTTGACAGTCTGCACGGCAGAGGCTTTCAGAGGCCCTCTGCAGCAGGTTCCTAGGTTGTTTCCTGTTTTCTTTTTCTTCTGATGTCCATCCTCTTTGCCTTTCAGGGTGGGGATTGAGCATTTTAGTTAGGGTCCTCTCTTTTGCTTAGTTTGTTTAGATGTACAGATTTTAGTGGGTTTATTCTATGTTGTATGTTTATATGAGTGAGTATATACCGTGTGTGTCTTTTTGCTTCTGGGACAACTCACTCAGGATGATCCTTTCCAGGTCCCACCATTTACCTGCAAATTTCATGATTTCCTTATTTTTCATTGCTGAGTAATACTCCATTGTATAGATGTACCACAATTTCTGCATCCATTCTTCAGTTGAGGGGCATCTGGGCTGTTTCCAGCTTCTGGCTATTATAAATAAAGCTGCTACAAACATGGTTGAGCAAATGTCCTTTTTGTGTACTTGAGCCTCTTTTGGATATATACCTAGGAGTGGTATGGCTGGATCTTGAGGAAGCGCTATTCCTAATTGTCTTAGAAAGCGCCAGATTGATTTCCAGAGTGGTTGTACAAGTTTCCATTCCCACCAGCAGTGGAGAAGGGTTCCCCTTTCTCCACAACCTCTCCAGCATGTGTTGTCACTTGAGTTTTTGATCTTGGCCATTCTGATGGGTGTAAGGTGAAATCTCAAGGTTGTTTTGATTTGCATTTCTCTAATGGCTAATGAGGTTGAGCATTTCTTTAAGTGCTTCTCTGCCATTCGATATTCCTCTACAGAGAATTCTCTGTTTAGCTCTGTTCCCCATTTTTTAAGTGGATTACTTGGTTTGCTGCTTTTCAGCTTCTTTAGTTCTTTATATATACTGGATATGAGTCCTCTGTCAGATAAAGGGTTGGTGATGATTCTTTCCCAATCTGTAGACAGTCGCTTTGTTTTGATGACGGTGTCCTTTGCTTTACAGAAGCTTTTCAGTTTCATGAGGTCCCATTTATTGATTGTTGCTCTTAGAGCCTGTGCTGTTGGTGTTCTGTTCAGAAGTTTTCTCCTGTACCAATGAGTTCTAGGGTATTCCCCACTTTTTTTCTAGCTGATTTAAAGTGTCTGGTTTTATGTTGAGGTCTTTGATCCACTTGGACTTCAGTTTTGTGCAGGGTGATAAGTATGGATCTATTTTCATTTTTCTACATGTAGACATCCAGTTGGACCAGCACCATTGGTTGAAGATGCTATCTTTTTTCCATTGTATGGTTTTGGCATCTTTGTCAAAAATCAGGTGTCCATAAGTGTTTGGGTTTATTTCTGGGTCTTCTGTTCGGTTCCATTGATCCACCATTCTGTTTCTATGCCAGTACCATGCAGTTTTTATAACTGTTGCTCTATAGTACAGCTTGAGATCAGGGATGGAGATACCTCCAGAAGATCTTTTATTGTAGAGGATTGTTTTAGCAATTCTGGGTTTCTTGTTATTCCATACGAAGTTGAGAATTTTTCTTTCCAGGTCTGTAAAGAATTGTGTTGGCAATTTGATGGGAATTGCATTAAATCTGTGGATTGCTTTTGGTAAGATGGCCATTTTTACTATGTTAATCCTGCCAAGCCATGAGCATGGGAGATCTTTCCATCTTCTGATATCTTCTTCTATTTCTTTCTTCAGAGACTTGAAATTTTTTTCATACAAGTCTTTGACTTGCTTGGTTAGGGTTACACCAAGGTACTTTATGTCATTTGTGGCTATTGTGAAAGGTACTGTTTCTCTAATTTCTTTCTGAGCCCTTTTGTCTTTTGTATACAGGAGGGCTACTGAGTTTTTTGAGTTAATTTTGTATCCATCCACTTTGCTGAAGGTGTTTATCAGCTGTAGGAGTTCCCTGGTAGAGTTTTTGGGGTCACTCACGTATACTATCATATCATCTGCAAATAGTGATAATTTGACTTCTTCCCTTCCAATCTGTATCCCCTTGATCTCCTTCAACTGTCTTATTGCTCTAGCAAGGACTTCCAGCACTATGTTGAAAAGATATGGAGAGAGTGGGCAGCCTTGTCTTGTCCCTGATTTCAGTGGGATTGCTTTAAGTTTCTCTCCATTCAGTTTGATGTTGGCTATAGGCTTGCTGTATATCGCCTTTACTATGTTTAGATATGTGCCTTGTATCCCTGATCTCTCCAATACTTTAAACATGAATGGATGTTAGATTTTGTCAAATGATTTTTCAGCATCTAGGGAGATTATCATGTGTTTTTTTTCCTTTCAGTTTGTTAATATGGTGGATCACATTGATGGATTTCTGTATATTGAACCACCCCTGCATACCTGGGATGAAGCCTACTTGGTCATAGTGGATGATATCTTTGATGTGTTCTTGTATTCGGTTTGCAAGTATTTTGTTAAGTATTTTTGCATCAATGTTCATAAGGGAGATTGGCCTGAAATTATCTTTCTTTGTTGAGTCATTGTGAGGTTTAGGTACCAAGGTGACTGTGGCTTCATAGAATGAGTTTGGTAATGTTCCTTCTGTTTCTATTTTGTGGAATAGTTTGAAAAGAATTGGAGTTAGCTCTTCTTTGAAGGTCTGGTAGAATTCTGTGCTGAAGCCATCTGGTCCTGGGCTTTTTTTGGATGGGAGAAACCCAGCAGTAGGGCAGCTGTCTTGAGAACTTCTATGGGTAAGAGGAGAGCCCACATTTGTTAAAGAAACATTGATAAAATTTAAACCACATATAGATCCCCACACATTAATAGTGGGAGACTTCAACACCCCACTCTCAACAAAGGACAGGTCAACAAAACAGAAATTAAACAAAGAAACAATATCTCTGACAGAGGTCATGAATCAAATGGACCTCACAGACATTTACAGAACATTTACACTCAAACACAAAAGAATTTACCTTCTTCTCAGCACCTCATGGAACCTTCTCCAAAATAGACCATATAGTTGGTCACAAAGCAAGCCTCAACAGATACAAGAAGACTGAAATAATCCCTTGTATCTTGTCTGATCACCATGGAATAAAGCTGGACCTCAACAACAACAGAAATAGCAAAAAGCCTACACACACATTGAAACTGAACAACTTGTTACTAAATGACAGCTGGGTCAGGGAAGAAATAAAGAAAGAAATTAAAATCTTCCTAGAACTCAATGAAAATGAAGACACAACATACCCAAACTTGTGGGACATAATGAAAGTAGTGCTAAGAGGAAAGTTCATAGCACTAAGTGCCTTCAAGAAGAAATTTGAGACAGCTCATTCAAGCAACTTAATGGCCCACTTAAAAACCCTAGAAAAAGAAGAAGCAGACACACCAAAAAGGAGTAGACGGCTGGAAATAATCAAACTCAGGGCTGAAATCAATCAATTGGAAACAAATAAAACAATTCAAAGAATCAATGAAACCAAGAGCTGGTTCTTTGAGAAAATAAGCAAGATCGACAAACCCTTAGCCAAGCTAACTAAAAGGCAGAGAGACACCACCCAAATCAACAAAATCAGAAATGAAAAGGGGGACATAACTACAGACACTGAGGAAATCCAAACAATCATTAGGACTTACTTCAAAAGTCTATATGCCACAAAATTTGAAAATCTAAATGAAATGGACAATTTTCTTGATGGATTTGACTTACCAAAGCTGAATCAGGACCAGGTAAATCAACTAACTAGTCCTATATCCCCCAAAGAAATAGAAGCAGTCATCAAACTGACTCTTTTGATGGTCAAAAAAATAGTGGAGGGGCTGGAGAGATGGTTCTGTGAGGCAGTGCTACTGTACATCGTGGAAACCGGAGTTCAGCTCTTCAGCACCCATGAAAACGCTGGGCAGGTATGGTGGCCATCTCAGAGTGCAATGCTAGGGAGGTGGAGGCAGGTGATCCTCAGAGCAAGCTGGATAGCTACATTAGCTAAATTGGTGAGCTCTGGGTTCAAGTAAGAGATCTCTGCCTCAAAATATAAGGTGCAGAACAATTAAAGAAGAAGCCTAGCAGCAATCTCTGGCCTCCACAACATGTAAACACACATCCATTCATGCATGCGCAAGACCCCCACCCCCAACACAGCACACAAGTGCCAAAACCAAACCAATTGAAAGACACAGGAGACAGGAGAATACTTCTTAAAGTACCCTTCAAGATAAGGAGTTCCTTATCAGGCCCATTTCCACATTACCCAAGCTCCTGCTCACTATATTCTGCATCCATGTCCCCTGAGCTTCTCTCATGACAATACACGTGACCTGCAGGCAACATGCAGGCAGAGACTCTCCTGCTTTAGGCCAGCTGCACCCTGGTTCTTGGTAGTATTATACACTTGGTGAAACCCCCAACAAAGATGGGTAGATGGAAGGAGAAAGGGAGGGAAGGCTCCTAGTCATTGGCTCTCTCCAAAGCTCACCTGGCCTCATCCTAGATTTCTTGAACTGTTTGTAGATGAAGCACATCTTGTCCAAACAACACTGGATCTTCTGGATACTGTGGGCAGAAAGCAGGAAGACTCAAACATCACAGTGATAGGAACTGGAAGATGTTCTGTAAGCTGGCTCCTTGCAGAAGAGTAAGCCTCAGAGTAGGGTGTGGTGTGGTCTGGGAATGGAGGAAACTGGCTCATCTCTAAGCTGATATAGATAACGTATATCAAGCCTTCCTTCACTATTCCAGATCTCTCCTTCCCTTCCTCCTCCCTCCCCCCAGCAGGTGAGACAGAGAGTCTACATTGGGGAAAAGAGCCTATATTCGAAATACACCCAATACCTACTCCATAGAAGAAAACAACAACCCTAGCTGAAACAGTAATGAACCTATGGTACTGTGGAGGGAGGGTTGGGGTGGGAGGTGATCTCTCAAGAGCCTTGCCAGTCTGGGGTTTAAAGTCATTGCTGCCCTTTTCTCTTGCTTTTCACACTGGATACAACCATTCCCTTTAGGGTACTGGGGTGTCCTACTCCCTTCAGGCTACTGGGGTATCCCTCCTTACCCTTGCGACTATTTGGCTCCACTTCCTCCCAGAGGTCCCTAGGTGAGCACCACCTCAGGTATTTCTGGATTTGGGCAAAGTGCAAGCTTGTTTCCAGGGGCTCAGGCAGACCCCTGCTGCCCTTCTGAGAAGCTGCAGTGGAGGATGAGATTGGCTGAGATGTGTCTAGAGCCGTGGTTTCACATATATCAACTTGGAGTTGCCTTGTGGTTTCAGAAAGGCACCTCAGTGCACATGGAGGGTTTGTGGAGCATACCAGTGGAGTAGGGTGCAGGTACCTAATCCAATGCACTTGAACTATCTACCATAAGAGTTGGGTGTGGTGCACACACCTTTAATCTCAAGTGCTCATGAAGCTAAAGCAGGTGGACCTCTAGACATCTACATAGTGAGTTCTGGGCCAGTCACAGTTACACAGTGAGGCTGTGTCTCAGAAAACAATAGAAATAAAAATTTCACCATAGATGAGTCAGAGTACACAAGACTGTATTAATTTTAGACTAGTTTCTGCTAAGAAAGATCTAAGAAAACCTTGTCATTCTCAAAGATGTTTGAACTGAGGACATTAGACATTAGACCTGTAGAGACTTCAACTGCCATGGTCACAGTGGGACAAGGCAGGCTATGGCTCTGCATTCAGTAGCTTGTGGATAGGTAGGCATTTTGTGTGTGTGTGTGAAGAACAGTAATAGGAGTCTTTAAAAGCTGTTAAGTGAGGAGCTGGAGAGATAGCTCCCTGGTTTAGAAGACTTCTTGCTCTTCTAGAGGACATGGGTTCAGTTCCTCAACAGTGGTTTGCAACTGTCTATAGCTCCAGTTCCAGGAGATCTGATGCCATCTTCTGACCTCTGGTGGTGCATGTATGTGGTATATAGACATAAATGCATGCAAAACACCCCCCACATACTAAATAATAAATCAAAATAATTTTTGTTTGTTTTTTGAGATGGGTTTCTCTGTGTAGTTCTAGCTGTCCTAGAACTTGCTCTGTAGACCAGGCTGGGCTCAAAGTCACAGAGATCCACCTGCCTCTGCCTCCCTAGGTGTTGAGATTAAAAACATGCAATATCACACCTGGATTTTTTCTTCTTCTTCAGAGTTTTTAAGCCCATATGGCTTATCATCTGTCAATCTATTATCTATCAGTCTCTATCTATATCTATCTATCTATCTATCTATCTATCTATCTATCTATCTATCTACCAGTCTATCAATCATGTGGTACTGGGAATTGAACCTGATGGCCTGCCACTGTGCTACAGCCCAGACACAATAAATAAATAAATAAACAAACAAACAAATAAATATTAAATCTTTGTCTCCTGCAAGCTCTGGAGGTTCAGTGGATCTTACCTGAAGCTCACGTGTCACTTACTGATTGTGACTCGGGGGAAATGAGCCTCACAGATTGAGCCTTCTCTCTCAGTGCCACTGTTTGGCAGACTCAATGAGATGCTCTAAGTGAGAGGACCTACTTGCAGACACACCAGAAGAAAGGGAGCCAAACTCTCCAGCAGAGCTACAGTGTCTGCTGTGACTCCTTGTTATTCCAGCAACCAGTTGGGGCAGGACCCAGGTTCTCATTCCTGAGGTTGGTCTCAGGAGAGGGCCTGACTCTTTCTTAGATTCCCCTCTCATACCCTACTACCCTGTCCCTGAAGAGAGCAATCAAGGTGCCTCAGAGAAAGCCTTGGGGACCACTGTGCATCTCCCAGCCTCGTCACACAGATGATGGAAATGCCACAGACCTTCTGTGGTCTTCATCAATTTGATCCTGGTCCTTTAAAAGCTCTCCAGGCAGTTCAGGCTCATTTGGATTTCTATAACATTGTGGGAACATCTAGAGAGGACCTCTGAGCACTGTGGAGCCAAAAGAGAGAATCCTGTGGGGTCCTTAAATCAAGGCTATGCTGGGCAGTCTGCAGGCCTGCTCTTCCCACCCAATGTTTCTATAAAGCTCTGCCCTCCTGGTTAACTCACAGCCTGCAGCTTGGACCTCAGCTCTGTGGCCTCCTTTAGTTCCTGGAAGTGAGGTTTCCTAGTACCACTGTTGAACCTGAGAAAAGGAAGAATAAGGGTGTGTTTGGGGGCTTAGGAATTGGGTGAAGGGTAGTGAGCTCTGTACCCACACATTGGGCACAGCTTCTTTGTGACAGTCTTGTCAGCTTTCTGAGGGTTTGACACAGGAGAACCAACTTGACATGGGCCCTAGACATCATGGTTGTAATATTGTTGAGCACTGTAAAGAATAAAAGTTGAAGTAGATTGAAACACCGGGATTCATGAAAAAACCTACAAGCCTACAATGCAAGGTAGCTATTGGTAAAACCCTTGTTAAAAAGTTCTATAACTGAATAGAATTAAGTTCTTCCCAGTAGAAATTGTTTTTCTTAGCTGTGCTTAGCGGTGCATGCCTGTAATCCCAGCACTCAGGGAGGCAGAGGCAGATGGGTCTCTGTGAGTTCGAGGCCAGCTTGGTCAACAGAGTGAATCCAGGACAGCCAAGGCTACACACAGAGAAATGCTGTCTCAAAAAACTAAGAAAGAAACTATTTCTTGGCAACCAATAACACGTTGATGGGAGGGTACTAGTTCACAGTCCAAGACTTGGGTCATTAGCATCTCACTGCCCCAGTGAAGTGACTGAGACTAACCTCAATTAACAATGATTGAGAGGTGGACATTTCAAGTTGACAAGGTAGCACTACCCTGGTTCTTTTGCAGGAAAAATATTCCTACATAGCAGAGGAATCACATGGCTACTATGTGCGTCATGTACACTAGGAATTACCCAGCTTGGTCTATGGTGTGTTCTAACACAAGATGATTAACTTGAATCCAACAGTCCATGGAACCCTGAACTTACCAAAGATCATAGAGAGGAAGAAGAAACTAAATGACAGCAGGAAGTCCTATGAAGCTGAGGTGGGCCATGAACTGGGAACCTCAAATGAGTCAGTGGCATGAAAAGAAAGGGAAGAAACAAAATGAAACTGAAGTAACAAAATTAGACACAAAATGTGGTTCTGGACTGGTTCCCAGTTTGGACACAACAAGCTTTAAAAAGAAATTGTAGGACAGTTATGATAGAAAATTCCCAATCATGATGGGTACAGAGCAGATGTGAATGTACTGGCAGAAGAGAGCTCACTAGCTGAGAAAAGCAGGTTATAAAACACCAAGGAACAAAAAGGTGGTGACTGATGGAGAAAGGAGGGACCAAAGTGTGGTGACCACTGTCAGGTGGGAGGTGCTTCTCTACTTCCTGGCTTCCTACTAGCATATATACTTTTTTTAAAAAGCTTTTTTTTCCTAGTTTTTATTAATTTTTTTATATAATATATTTTGATCATGTTTTTCCTTTCTCATAACTCAGATCCTTTCTATATTTCCTACCCACCCAACTTTATATTCTTTTTCTCTCCTCAAAAACAAAAAATCAAAACAAACAAACAAACAAACAAAACAGTAAGAGAAAATCAAATATAGTCATACCCCATTCTCTCCCAACCATGGATTCATTTTGTGTTGGCCAAGTACTCCTGGCCATGGGGTCTGCTGTGGAAGTAGTTGTTATACCCAGTGATACGCCATTGAAGAAAACTTATTTTCCCTTTGCCAGCAGGTATCAATTGCAAATAGCTTTTTGATTATGCATAGAACCCAGTGTCCACTTTCCTGTCTAGCATATATTCTCTTTATTTTTCTCTTTTATTTCTCTTTCTTTCTTTTTTTTGGGTAGGGTCTCTTTATATAGTCCTGGCTGTCCTGAAACTTGCTTGCTATGACCAGGCCTCAGACTCAGAGAGATCCCCTTGCCTCTGCCTACTGAGTGCTGGGATTAAAAATCATGTGCCACTGTGCCCAGCCAGCATAGTCTTTACATGATAACAATTACAGAGAGAATTCTGTATCTTTTTGCTTGGAAATGCAGAGTCAGGGAAGGAAGGGAGAGGTGAGCAGAGTCTCAGGAGTCAGCTGGAGGTTACAGGAAGGCAGCAATACTGCATTGCTTTATCCACTAGAGAACTCTGGGGCCTTGCAGTGTTTAGCACATAGCAGTTATCCCATGTGTGACTGTTGACTTGTTGAGGGAGTCAATGTGTATTGTTGGGGCTTGGGAAGTGGGGAAACCTCAAGGTTGCTGAGGTTTTGAATATCTGTCTTGATGTCCAGATATTCCTCCAGCCAGAGACCCTTGGGAGAAAGGCTAGGAAGCCTGCCGTGCCAAGAAAGCACACTGAAGAAAGGAAAGATGACCAGCTGGGAAGGAAATAACACTCTGATACCATCATCAAAGGTGAAATTTCACTCATTAAAATTCCCCATTCCACTGTAGAGGGAGTTGGTGGCCACAGCACTTATACTCTAAGGCTTGGAGGAATCTACAGTAGGAAAGAATGGGATTGCAAAGTACTAGATCAGGGGGCTTTAGATATTGGCCAGAGGCCCAGGCAGGAAAACATACTGACCAGCCTGTGGTCCCTTACAAACCTCTCTGCCCAGGTTCTTTTCTGTTCCATCTTCCTACAAACACCTGACACTCCTGGCCTCAGAGCCTGGGAGCCAGAGTGGAGATCCTGTCTAGCTGACAACCTGCCTCCTCCCACCACCCATCAGTCCAGGGCAGACAGACACCCCACATCTTCCTCTCCATGCCTCTACCCAGACTGAGTACCCACAAAGGATCACCAGTTGTCATTCTCTTGGTACCAACCTCTCTAAGTGGACCCTCCAGACTCCATGTCTTCCCCATCCACATCTCTAACTTCAATCCAGGACATTTGCCTCACAACATTCTTTCCATGCCCCTACCAACCTAGGCTTTCTGGGCTTAAAACCTTGGTGACTTGGCTCCCTTTCCTAGGCTCATGTGCCAAGGAAAGATTGAGTGCACCAAGGCAGTAGGACCCTTCTGAGGGATAGATGCCACATCCTACCCTTAGATGCCATCTCTGTGACCTGCCGAGGACACTGGGTAGAGGATGTCCAATAAGGGTGCTTCAGAAGGCTTCCACCCTCTGTCACCATTTGAAGAGACTCGGCTACAATGGGCTCCAGTTCTGTCACCTGCAAACACTTTTCCCCCTTTATCTCATCATTACCTCATCAAAAGAGCTTTCTACAAAGCTCTGGACACAGACATCCAGCCCACTCTTGGAAATTCCCTGCACTTTTGAGGGAAAGGCTCAGGTTTTCAGGGTGGGCTGGAGGAAGGGGGTGGGATTTCAGGCACTTTGTCACAGCTTGATGGGAAAAGCTTCCCTGGGCTAAAGAACTCTCATCTCTCATGACCTCCACACTATGCCTCTCAGGATTTAGGGTATGTTCATTTCTCAACAGCAGCCTGGCCCGTGGATCTCTTGTTTTTTCTCCCTGTCCTTCATTAACTTATCTTCCTCCTTCCCAGGCTCTCTTTCCACCTCAGAAGGCAAGGACAAGAGGAAGACCCACTGAAACTAAATAAGAGCAAAAGCTGCAGAGGCTGAAACAATCTGGATTTTCCTCAGTGTGCAGAGACAATACCTGGGAATGAGTCCCCCCCCCCTTTTATTCTCCCTGGGGCTTGGTACAGAATGAGTGTTTTGAATCATTCAATGTCCTAGTAAATTAAGACCCTACCTGGGGTACGGGGCCTGCTCTTTCTGGGGTACAAGAGGGTATTTCATTTCGGGGAGCTGGGAGGCTGCCCTTCCTGGGTTAAGGGACTGCCCTGGAGCCCAGGGAGGCAGTGCCCCCATGGATTTCTTCCTGCAGGAGGCAGTGCTAGGCCGGGATGGAGACGCCTTTGGGAAGAAAGGATATGAATGATAAGGTGCGAGTACTAACGCTGCAGAAGGTGAGAACTCTGTGTGTGGGAGGGCCGATGCACTGCAGGGGTGAGGAGCAGAGAGGAGAGCTGAGGGACTCAGTTGGCCCCGGCAGCACACCCACCTTTCAGAGCCCCGGCTGCTGCTGAGGAAGAGAAGGGCTGTCCGTGTGACCTCTAGTGTCTGCTGGCACATGTTCTGAAGCACCTCCCTGTGTGAGAGCAGTCCAAGTCAGGGTCACGTCGACCAGAGGGCACTGTGCATGTAGGCATAGCCTTACAGAGGGCCAAAAGAGGTCTGGGTGGGTGTGTTATGCTCTGCCCCCAGCCCTCCACAGTACTCACAGGACCCAGCATAACCCTTGAAGCATCAATGCCTGCCCATTCAGCAGGACCCATGCCAGCCACAGGGCCTGGTAGCCAGCTCCCAGCACCCTCTGAAACATACAGATAGGCAGGATCAGTCCTTCCTCCTGTCAAACCCCTTTCTGCCTTCTGGGGTGGCCCCTCACCTTAGCTGTGCTGTAATCTATCTGTAGGTCGACCTTGGGGACGAACTTTGGGATGTCCAGAGCAGCTGCAGACAAAGACTCTGTTTGAAAAGTCTGCTTCTATGGACTGGGTCAACTCTGAGGCCATCTTTTCTTATTCCCAGCTCACAGTCACCCCTAGCTGCTGATTTCCCACCTAAAGCTGTCCTTGCAAATCTTGACTCTGTGGATCTTCAAAGTCTCAGTTCTTTACTGCCACCTTGTGGTCATTTCAAGAACTACATCCTAAAGCCCTGCCTTTACATCCAGTATATCCCTATTCTCTTGCAAGGTTAAAGGCTCCCCCCTCCCCTAAGAGGAGGACTACGCATGATCCAAATGAGAAGGAATATTACTTCTAGAAATCAAGGAAAGAGCAAATCTCTAAGCCTCTGTCCACCTGTCCTTCTCTCCTGCAGCCTGGACTCACACTTCTTCCAACTCAAAATACACAAGATACTCCCCACCAATGGTAGAAATTGTTGAGGCCTTAAATGTCTCCAAATGCCCAGTCTCTGTTGGAGGATTGGGGCCACACAAGGAAGTCTAGTGACCAGCTCAAGTCACATGGCAACTCAGAGGTATGCATAGAATTAAAACCCAAATTCAATTCACTTCTACTCCGTGGGCCAGAGAAACTCTCACCAGGGAAACAAGACATGCCCTGGGTTGGAAACCCACAGACTCTAGAGGAGACTGCTTCAAGTGTTAAAGATTCAGCCTGAGTGGCCCTACTCATGGTCTCTGAAGGCCAGCCCCTTGGGTGTATCACTGGCCATGCTGAACAGAGTCAGAGGGCTGCTGGCAGTTGTGTGGGCCATGTGCTGTGCTGAGAGGCTTGGCTCAAGGACACAGGGGTGACCCTCAAAGAGGTACTCCTGTTGTTTGGGGGCCACGTTGGTCTGCTCATATACAGCCTCCAAAAATATGGAAATCCTAGACATGTGAGAGAAGGGAAGTGTCAGGAGGCACCATGTGGGAGGGCTCAACTTTTCTAGGGTAGGGTTCAACTTTTCTAGGGTAGGGTTGGGGAAGGGTGTCTGTGTGTGGTATTTTCATCAAAAATGGAGAGGAAAAGGACAGAGTTCATGCAAATTGGGAAGAGGGTCCAGAGTTCCAATGCCTAACCTCTGCCTTTGTGCCCAATCCTGCTGTACCCTTGTTAAAACTCTCCTGACCCCATACAGTGCTCCAGGTGTTAGAGGACATGCTGACCCCAGCTCGTGGGCTGAGGCAGGAGGATGGAGAGTTTGTCAGGTGGGGATACATGGTAAGATCCTGTCTCAAACATCGAAGACCAAGAATTTAGTGAGTAAAGGGGTTCTATGAACAACAAATCACAAACCTGGGAACTAGAGTGTCTCACCTGAATAGCACGAAGTCTGGAGCACAGACAAGGAAGTCTGTTCAACTTGACTTGATGGAAATGCTTTTTGGGAGAAGCACCCTTGGACCCACAGCACTGCTTAGACAAGGGAGGGAGGCTCTCTTCCCTCTCTCTGTTGTTTCCACTCACGTGTTTTGGGCATGGATGTAGACATGATGCAAGACCACCTGGGGCAGGGAGAAGACATGGATGATGGTTTGCGGCAGGATGTCACTGGTCTCTGCAAAGAACTGATTGAAGCCCCAGCAATTAGCCTGTTCTATCTCCAGGATGTTGGCTAGGATGGGCACCAGCTGGCTCTGCAGCCCCTACACATACAAAATATGAGGACCTGAGCACCCAAATAGAACTCCACATGCTACAGAAGAAGAGTGGAGGGCCCCGGAGCTCTGCTGAGATAGCCTGGACATCTGGACTCAGCAGAGGGAGGTGTCCACTTCCATGGACAGTCTGCAGGTGACGGAGCTATAGTTCCACTCCAGGGGCCCCATCTTCCTGCCTCTGAGTCCCTGAAATGGCCCCGGCTGGCTTCTCAGTGGTGATTCTATACCTGTGGTGGGGTAGAATCAGGTCTTTAGTCCCCCACCCATTCATCAAACTTTCTCATCCATCCACCATACTTTAAGAAACAATAAACTCCAAACAGAGTTTTGTCACCCAGCCACTGTGAGGAAGGCTGGAAAATGAAATTGTTGCATCCTGGCTCGCACCTCTGCCCAGCCAAGCTCCTTGCTTTAGGCAGAGCCCTTCTCACTGTCACTGTGGCTATACCAGGTCCAGCCACCTTCACATCCGTGCCATACTGAGCTCAGCACCACACATTTTCTCCTCACTTTTCTAACTGCCCCTCCAGTCTATCCTTCCCCAACAGCCCATTCCATTCCAACTTTCCTCCTTGTCCCTAAATCTGGTTCCATACAGGTTGTCCCAGGACCAAGGGTGCATGACATGCTTCCTTATGACACACTGATAAGAAAAACAACAACAACAACTCAGATGTCTTTCATTTATTACAAGATGGAGAAGAGAAGAGCAGCTAACTGTAGATCAGCTCTGAGAAAACCAAAGTCAATTTCACTTCCTGACCATATGCTGAAAGCTTGCCTTAGATCCTAGCACTTCAGACCTCCAAGGCCATTGTGCCCTTCTTCTCTATAACCCCTGCAGACCATTAACTGCAACCAGAGTAAAGACAAATACTTTTTGTGGACTGCTCTGCCACTCCGAAGCCCTCTCCTCTTAACTGCCTTTTACCTACAGCCATTGTAAACTTCTGCTTTTCTTCCCCAAGATTTATTTATAATGAACTCTCAGCACTAGGTCCAGTAGATATTTTCCAATTGCCCTACAGCTAGAACCATGGGAACTTGTCTCAAGACTTGGTACTTTTTTTTTTTTTTTCTGTGCAGCATCAGTTATAACTCAGTAGATCCTTGTATTGCAGGGCTCCTCATTTCACTGGTTTGTCACTACTTTACATCTTTTTTGTTCTGGGCAGTACATCATGGCAGCCCCTGTCTTCAGCTCCTCCTATAAGTCAACGAGAGACACTAGGAAGACCCTGGACCTGGGTTCCAGCTCTGTCTTCACCCCTGCAGGTTCTGTAACCTTGTAGGCATCCTTGAGCCTTGGTGGAGATGTGGTGAGCTAGGAATGGGGTCAGGGCTAGAGGGAACACTGATCTAAGACAAGGAGATATGAATGTTCTCTACCAAGTCAGGGCTGTGAGGCTGTGCTTCTGGTTTGATTAAAAGTGGCTCTAAAAGAATCAAGGTAGGGCCTGAGGGCCAGAGGTGCAGCAGGGTTCCATGGGGGAAGGGCCAGGTGCCTGCTCAGGGCCTGTCCCTTTCATTCCCTGTCCCATAGCCCACCGTACATGATCTCCTTGTTGTGCCAGGGCCCACCAAAGGGGATGTAGGGCAGACTACCAGTGGCTGCATGGTACAGGGTCACCACAATACTCTAGAGATTCACAGTCATCCCGAACGCCTTTTGCTGGGGTTTGCAAAGCACTGCCCGCTCATACATGTCAGGGTGCTATGGGAGAAAGGCAGAGAGCAGCCATGGAGGGACACTCCTAGGGTATCTTCAGGAAGCACATTAGCTTGGGGCAGAGGGTCTCCAACATGTCACTTACCAGGTACTCTTCTGTACCATAGACAGAAACAAACTTCTCATCATGATCCAGCTTCTGGGCAGCCCCGAAGTCAGACAGCTTATAAATGCTCTACCCCTCCTTCCCCACCAGGCGCATGATATTCACAGTGGACAATGCCGTTCTCCCGCAGGTGGTTCATGCCAGCCACTGGAGACAGACAGAGCACTGACAGCTTGGCGGCTCATCTAGTGTTTGTCCTGATGAAGATTCTTTCCTTGGATCCAAGTAGACAGGGAGTTGCCACAGGGAGCTCAAGGGTACAGGGAAAAAAAACTGGAGACCAGGGATAACCCCCCAGGGAAAAGAAAGGACATTCCAAGCTAGAGAAATGGGTCATTGGTAAAGTGCACTGGATGCTCTTCCAGATGACCCTGGTTCGATTCCCAGCCCCCACAGGTCATCTTGCAACTGGAACTCCAGTTCCAGCGCCCTCTTCTGGCCTCTGCAGGCACCAGTCACATATATAGACAGGCAAAACACCCATATACATAAAGTAAAAATAATTTAATAAAAATTTAAGGGGTGGAGATATGGTTCAGTTAAGAGCACTTTCCACTTCTCCTGAGAACCTGAGTTCAGTTTCCAGCACCCACAGGATGTCTCACGGTCATCTGTAACTCCAGGTCCAGGGGATCTGAAACCTTCTTCTGACCCCTGAGGGCACCAGGCACACACACAGCACACATACGCACATGTAGGCAAAACACTCATAAACACAAAATAAATAATTTAAAATGTAAAAATAAATAGAAGGAAGGGTTCCCAAGGACATTAGAATATCAGACTCAGATTCTTTGGGGAGCCCAGGGCACATTCTCCATTTTATTATTTATTTGTAGTAAAACATACCCAACAAAATTTATCATTTAAAATTTTTTGTTTTGGATATGTTTCACAATGTAGCCCAGGCTACCATGGAATTCCTGATTGGCCTGTCTCAGCCTCCCCAGTGTGCAACCAGGCCCTTCAATTTAACAGTTTTTAAGCACACAGTGGCTGTAAGCACATTAACACTATCATGCAAACCAACACTCATCTCCTTTCCAGATGAAGTTCCACACCCATTAACCAGCGCTCCTTACTCTATGCTTCCAGTGCCACGCATGTGCAACATTCTACCTCTGTGTCCAGCAACCTGACTACCTTAAGCGTCCCAGTCAAGTGTGGTCTTTGCCCTTCTGTGGCTAGTACATCCCTCAGCAAAGTGTCCTTCAGTTTCATCCACATTGCCATGTGTGTTAGAATTCCCTCTGTACAGTTATACTCCACCACCTGCAGGCACCACAATGTATTATCCAAAGTGTTGGGCCGTTTCATCTGTTGACTACTGTGACTGATGCTACCTGCCTTCAACACTGGAAAACAATTGTTTTAGAATTGTCTTCCTACAGCTTTGAGCTGAATCAAACACGTGGGTCTTCCTGGCCCATCTCTCTGCCTCAGGCCCACTAGGTGCCTACCAGACTATCACACTTGTCCTGGTCTTTGCCCATGTAGAGGGCCTGGGCCTGGGAGAAAGGGCATGGCTCACCAACACAGCACAGTACCACCAGGAACTCCTCCTCAGGAAGCCCAAAGGTGTTCTCAGGGTCTTCCAGCACACTCAGCAGGCTCCCACTGGAGCAATAATCCATCACCAGCACCTTCTGCTGGCTGCTTCCCGGTGCACAGGACAGGAGGTGGCTTGGGGAGGAGAGGACTTCTCACTTCTGCCTGCCAGGAGGTTGTTTACCTAGAGCCTACAGCCTCATTCCTGGGTCCCAGCTTCTAGCTTGGCCTTATTGCTGTACCCATCTCAGACACAGGAACCAACCCAAGGCTACCTTTCCTAAGAGCCCTCTCTGAGTATGCATTGATTCTCCCTTTCCTTTTCCAATGATTTCCCCGTGTGATCCCACACCCTTGAGTTCTTTGACAGCCCTCCCAACACCCCCACCCCTCCCGCAAATGCTTCTGGACTGATGATGAGCATGGCTTGCCTCTCTCTGGATTGCAAAGGTCAAGAGCTCCTTCTCTGACCAAGTAGATGACCCACTGTTTCCTCCACAGCGAACAGCTTGACGATGTTCTGATGATTCAGTTTCCCCAGGACCTCAAACTCCCTCCCTTGCACCTCAGGGGGCTACCAGTAGCTGGCTGAATTGAAGACCTTTACAGCAACCACTTCCCCTGATTTCTAGCATGTGGGCACAGGGTGAGAATCACAGGTTCTACCCATGCTAGGGAGCTGCTATCCTCCCTTCTCTTTAAATCTCTCTTCTAACCCAGCCCCAGAGGAGAGAAGCAGGGGATGGATGGGCTTACATCCCCTACTCAGAGGGCTGGAGCAGCACTTGGAAGTGACACACCTGCTATCCCACAGGAAATGACTTGTGTTACTGCTCATTTTGCCATAGATAAGAACTGCCCAGGCTGTCTACTCTGCCACTGGTTCCTGAGCACAGAGTGTGTTCTGACACAGCTCTGTAGCCTCTATAAAACAAACCCAAACAGGCCTAACCTCCCAGCCCTGCTCTTCCTAGATCCCACCTGCTGTCACCTCCCCTTCTGTCTTGTTCCCTAGTACCAACATGTCTCTGAAAGAGGCACCATTGCAAGAAATTTTTCCAGTATCCCATACCTCAGCCCAAACCTATATAGTCCTTTCCCATCAGAAAGGAGAGTCCTGGAACCCTGTCCACCTACATAGAATCTTAATGACTAATATAGGTCTAGCTCTAGGACATAAAGGAGCCTGAGGACAGAGTTGCTACTACCTTGTTTCAGGCCTTGTACACACCGGCAGTGGCCCCCTGCCTTAGCAGGTCATCAGTGTGCCAAAGGTAATTAGTTGTACTCTGCATCTCATGGCCTTGGCTAACTTCCATCTGGGAAACAAACAAACAAACAAACAAACAAACAAAAAAACAAACAAGTACGTGGGGGTCCAAAGTCCCATGCCTGACCTGCAATAGATACTGTTAGTGAGCCATCAGCTCCCAAGACCATCCCATAAAGAGCTCCATGTGGCCATGCACAGGCAAGGAGGCTGGAGAAGTGGTGGCACAGGAAGCCAAAAAAGCCAAACTGTAGCAGGAGAGTCCTACTGGGTCCCAAGCTTGCCTCTGTTCTACCTGTGCCCTGGTCCCTTCCAGTACCCTTCAGAGGTAGGCCAGTCTACAGGAACAAACCTTTCTGTATCACCTCTTTTAGGCACTAGGGACTCAAGAGTTTCTACATCCGGGCCTGGGATTGTCCCAGGAAGCAGACTCACTGCAGGAGGAAGGGCCGTGGGTCAGCAGGGGTCAGGCAGAGGCAGTCACACCACCACAAATATCCAGGGTTGCAACATGAGCCTGAACTCTCATCTTCACATGCCTCCTTTCTGCTCTTGTGACCCCTAACTTCCTACTGCTAGGAGCTAACAGCTGCTCACCAGGCAGGCATGTCTCGCTCACTGCTTTACCAGAAGGACTGGGGCTGCAGGGAAGCCAGCTAAGAAGGAAGGATGGGAGGAGAAGAAGGGAGGGGAAGGTAATGGAGGAGAGCTTGGGAGGATCTAGGACCATCAAAGGCAAGGGCTCAAAAGCTCTGGGGGAAGATCTGAAACCCTCCACAACTCTGCTCCCCAATTTTGCTCTCATCCTGTTCTCTCCAAAATCTGGTTCCTCTAAAGCAACTGGTTTTAGAAAATATAACCTCAGAAGTTACCCTCACCGCCTGTCTGCCAAATAGGGCCACAGCTGGCCTTTTGGGATTCCTGAAGGCAGGAGCCTAAGAAGGGCCACCACCCCTAAAATGCTTTGAAATAAAGTTGCATTAGGCAGGGCCTCTTCCTGCTCTAGCAGCTCACTGTTTCTCAAACCAAAGGTGGCTCAACTCTGTGCACTTTCTGTATGTATTTTTTTAAAGACAGAGTAGCCCAGATACCTTCACTGGTATTGAGGATGATCTTGAACTTCTGTGTCTCTTTCCCAAATGTTTGGATTATAGGTGTGTACCACTATTCCCTATTGACTTGGTGCTGGGGATTGAATCCTTGACTTCGTGCATGCTAGGCAAGCACTCTACAAACTGAGTGAGCTATATCCCAGCTTATAGTCTATTTTGAAAGTGTAAATCTTGGAAAATGTCAGCTTTTGAGCCAGAAGCCACTTGAAGAGTTTAGTAGTCACATCCTAGTTTCAGACACTGCACTCATGTTTGCATTATGCAAAAGTAAGGGTGCTGAGATCTTTTGAAGGCAATGTGAATGAGTTGCCCAAGTTTCTTCCATATGGCTGAAAAATCAGCCCCTGCTCAGACAGGGAATGCTGAAATGGAGGTCAAGGCCCCAGCCCAGGTGATCTGGGGGCAGGAGATTATATCACCTTCATAACTCTATCCATGCCGGTCCTTAACCAAGCCCTGGTGCTGGGGCAAAGTACAGCTGAAGTCAGGGAGATGGGCAGTGAGATGCATATGATCCTGGGTTCGGTGTCTAGAAACTCTGACTATGGCACATCTGGGTCACCTCTGAACCCCCTGCCCCAAGCTCTTTCTGTACACAGAAGATGCAGCACAGCAGCCTTCAGTGAGTCAATACCAGCCTTCCTGTGGACTCCCACCCTTTTGGGGGGGCTTTTCTGTGGCAAACATACTCACCTGCACCCCAAGTGGCTCAGAATCAGGTAAAGACTCTCCCTGGTAAATGTGTGTTATGCTTTCTGTCAGGGGCAAGTCTAGGAGCTGAGCTACACTGGAAAGAGAAGGGTGGGAGGATGAGAGGTTCCTTTTGTGCTGTTTGATTCTCAGCCCCCATCAAAGGCCACCAGTCACAGCCCTTTAACCTTTTCCTGCTGAAGCCTTCCCTACAGATCTGGGGGTTTCCCAGCCTCTTTCCAGCTGTTCTGAGAGCCTCTCCTGGCTATTTTGGGTCTCAGGAAAAAGATCCCAGGCAGAGGTCAGTTAGAGGCACCCAAAGCTGAACTCCAGCTTTGCATTAGCATGTTGGGAAGCAGAGCCTGGGAAGAGAGCCTTGTTGGCCGATAGTGGTTCTCCTTGGGGTCATAGTGGTCCCTGCCCCTTCCTGGACTCCAAACAGTCCTTTCTGAGAATGTTTTCCTACAGAGGGAGTTGTGGGGCACCACAAAGCTCCCAGTACCCACAGAAAAGACACAAGGAGGGGTCATTCAGGTGAATGTTACCTTGGAGCTGCCCCACTTGGCTCCCCCATGCCACCCTCATCCACAGACCTACACACTCACTCCTCCTATCTCAACTGCAGAGGAATGCAGACTTATGGGACTGGGTGGTATCCCCAGGGATTTCAGGTCTTGAAGTCAGTCACTGTCAGTACTAAGAGTATCCTGGTAGCCATGGGCCCCGGGGATCCATAGGCAAAGCTAGTAGTGATAGTCCTGGGCCTGCCTCTCTGATGGCAGTGGGTTTCCCAGCACAGCAGAGCCCAAGCTCTTAGTTCTATCATACTTCTGATTCACTTCTCTTTCTCTTTCTCCTCTCCCCACCTCTTTCCCTCCCTTCCTCTCTCTCTTAAAGAGACAGGCAGCTCAGCTGTTGCAATACACATCTCCACTCCCCATCAGGAAAGGGAAAGAGTGTGCTGTAAGCTGTCAAGTAGAAGCCATAGGACCATCATCTGAGCCACAAAGAAGCCAAGAACTGAGGCTGGGGCCTCTGTGATAGAACACTGAGTATTGTGGTGGCTTCTCCAGAGGGAAATTCAGGGCTCTGCTTTAAGTCACCTGAAGAGGTCAAACAAGTTAACCAAGTTGAAAACTGCCTAGAAAGGCCCAGGAGGTCCAGCTTCCTCCTAGAAGCTGGACAGGACTTGTCTTCCTTAGAGCCTGCAGGAACAAGCACACACCCAGGTCATAGCCTCTGCTTTGACTAACTTTACACACAGCAAAACTGGGCACCCCTGCCCTCAGGCAGTTTTCTGACCACAGCATGGAGGTGTGATATGCTTTAGATGGTTTGGATGGGAGGGGATGGAATATCTGGTAAACTTGAGTCTGGAAGTGTTTTTTTTCAGACCACATTTGATGGCATTAAGTCCTATACACCTATAGTAATTTGCCTATGGTTTGCCACCTTCCCAGCCATAACCCAGTGCCCCAAATGTACTGGGAAGCTGGAAGGGGTCTATGCTGTGCTGCCCTGGTCAGCTCTGAATGGGTAGTTGGGTAATGGGTTAAAACCAGGAAATTCCATGTTTCTCTAGTATGTTGGTGGGACTTTCCCCTGGCCACACCTGGTGATTTCCTCTGCCAGCTCCACCCCACCACAGGGAGGAGCTGCAAGAACAGGCCTGGAGCTCTTATTGACAGATCCACCTGAAGATAACATGACAGCCAGAGACAGCACAGGGACCAGAGGGAATGTGTGTGTGTGAGTGTTGGTGTGTGTTGTGATGGCAATTCTGGGGAAAATAATCTCAGGCGTCATTGCTACTGATGGGGGCTGGTGTGGAGAAAGGGCTGCTGCTACATCACCATCAAGGCCACCTCCTAAATAGAACTTAAGTCAATTAACCTTTCTTATAGGATTGCTATCCAGTGGGTCCAGAGAGGATAGTGTTATTGGTGTGCTGGCATGTATCTGTGGCTCCAGCTTCTAGAAAGGCTGGGGAAGGCAGTTCACTTGAGCCTAGGAATTCAATTCAGAGTCAGTGTCTGAACAGGACAACAGAACTAGAACCTGTTTTTTATTTTTTATTTTTATCAGGTAGCTTGGGGTACTAAGCTCAGGCTTAGTACTGCTTGGCATGCATAAGGCTGGATTCCATACCCAGTAGTAGTTGCAGCAGCCACCCCTACTTCCACATGTTGTTTTACAATGCCTTAAAAGTAAGAAAGGTCTCAAACAAATGTAAGAAAGGGCTGTGTATACTGCTGTACTTAGTTACAAGGGTTCAACGACAAAACTTCAGAACCTATAGCTCCCTCTCACTTTCATAAGTCAACCCTGCCCAGGAGCTTTGGTGCAGGAGGGACAAATACTACAGCCAGAACTGGTACCCTGGCTCTTCCCAAGCAGAGGGAAAGGGGCTGTGGGTGCACTATCCAGGCCCCAAGAGACCTGGTCCTTGTGCAATTATCTGTCATTGCTCCTAATCTGGAAATTTGTTTCATCCTTCCCACACTCAGCTTAAGACCCTGCCTTCAATTTAACTGAACTAAAAGAAGCAATTGAAAATGAACTCAACCTTTAACAGCTACTGCTTGTCTCTGCTTACCCTAATATCTGCTGTTCCTCCCAAGAGACAGGACCACATGCCCCTTCTGCTGGAGCCATCACCTCCACTTGTGCTATGCAATTCATCTGTGTCCCCATATTCCTTCCTGTCTTTCTTCTGGGTCTGCCCATGGAGCAGATGTGCTTCAACTCTGTCTATCTTCAGAACCAGCTCTGGTCCTTGGCCAGTCTGGATGTTCCACATGCACTGAGCTGCTGGGTCTTTCTTTTTTTGCTGCTACTAGCCACTCCAGTAAGACTCATTTATCATCTACTGAAAAATGCTTCTTTTTTCCCCTCCATCCCTTCCTCCCTCCTTTCTCTCTTTCCTTTCTTTTTCTTTTTTGTATTTTGAGAGACTATCTCTATATAGTCTTGGCTGTCCTAGATCTTGCTATGTAGACCAGGATGGCCATGAACTCACAGAGATCCTCCTGTCTCTGCCTCCCAAGTGCTTAGATTAGAGGCATGCCCCCACCATGACCAGCAGAAAATGCTTACTTCTTGACACGAGTTTCATCTTAGTCCTTGGCACTGGGCATTCAACAGTTGATCTCTACTTTTGTCAAGTACTTCCTTTTCCTGATTTCTGTAGCATGTGTGTCAGAAATTGGGCTCTCCCCCAGCT